TAGTTTATAAGAGCCCTGGTTTATGTTTATTTTGCCTTTTCACACTGTTATACCCTTTTTAAGCAACCTTGCCTTGTCTTGTTTTCTCCCTGCCCCAGTGTTGTTTTTAATAAACCCTTTCTGTTTAATTATTTTCTCTGCCTGGGTCAATCACGCCTGTGTGTTCTCGGCTGAAAAGGGGGCATTTTGTATGTGCTTGAGAGGGTCCCCTGGGCCTTCTCAACAGGGACCATATGTCCAGGGTGGTGGCGGTGGAAGGCGGAGACCCCCTGGGGTCATGACAACATCTGTTCCCAATTAGGGATGTCAGCCTCCAGGTGGGACCTGGGGATCCCCTGGAATTACAGCTCATCTCCAGACTACAGAGAGCAGTCCCCTTAGAGAAAGTGGCTGCTTTGGAGGGTGGACTCTGTGGCATTGTACCCCACTGAGGTCCCTGTCCTCCCCAGGCTCCACCCCCAAATCTCCAGGAGCTCCGCAACCTGGATTTGGCAACTGTACCCCCCCCCCAGTTCTCCCACCTTTGGCCAGGGGGGACCTGGCAACACCAGTTCTCATCTGCATAGCAAAAGTGGTGGAAGAAACAGTGTAAAAACTCAAATAAAACCATTGCTTCAAGAAAGAAAAAACCCTGGACTTTATTCATGTGTGGATGTAGGCCAAGCTTCCTGTGTAATTTTCTTAATCCTTCACCATCTCTTGTTTGAGTGGCGACAGAGACCACTGTTACTAGGAGACAATGTCAAAAGTAAAACCAGGGCTTTATTGTTGCAGTGTGTTTTGGCAATCCATTCCCACACAACAATCAAAACAAAAAGTTCATTCCTCCTGCCCCCCATTTCTTTATTGTATGGGGGGAAATGGGGGGAGGTGTAGTTTGTTAAAAAATATTATCAAAACTGTCCTGCATAAGCTTCTTGCATTAGGAGCAGAGATATCAATTATTAAATATTATTGTCCCTGTATGCTTCTATTGGTAAGGGTAGGCAGCTGAATGGTTTACAACAGACCTGCAATGTAGTCCACTGTTATCTCCATATTGCATTTATGAAGGGAGAATTGAGAGGTGATATATAATAATCCAATCACTGAATTATAATATGATGCAATACCCAGAAGGTCCCCTTATTATTATTGCTATCATTTTTTTTCTTGTTATAAAACTAACAGCTTTGTTTTAAAAACACAACACAACCTGTCCGTGATTATTATATCCAGGTTATGGAGATGTGTGTGAGTTTTGGTCATAATGTACAGCCAAATGAGGTGGCAGGATGGGACAAACAACTGTTGAAGGCTAGCCCATAAAACAAAACTCACTGCAAGTAAAAACTCAGCAGAGAGAGAAAGCTTCTAACTCCTCCTCCTGCAGAACTACAATAAAACTTAAAGGGAACTTATACCATAAAGAAGCATTTTTTTTATCATCCAGCCTAGTAAAGACTTCTGGAGACCCTGAAAGCTTAAGAACATCAGACCAGTGGTCCATCTAGTCCAGCATCCTGTCTCACACAGTGACCAACCAGTTCCTCTGGAGGGCCAACAATAGAACATAGAGGCTGAGGCCTTCCCCTGATGTTGCCTCTTTGACTCTGGGAATTCAGAGGCTTAGTGCCTCTGAATATGGAGGTATCCTTCAGTCACCATTGCTGGCAGCCATTGATAGACCTATCCTCCATGAATCTATCTAATCCTCTTTTATAGCTGTTTATTCATGTGGCCATTACTACATCCCTCTGACAGCAAATTCCACATTTTAATCACTCTCTCTGTAAAGTAGTATTTCCTTTTGTCCATCTTGAATCTACTGCCTAACACCTTCTAGTATTTGGGAAGAGGGAGAAAAAAAATATCTTTGTCGACTGTCCCCACCTCAATCATAATTTTATAAACCTCTATTGTGTGTCCCCCACCCCCTTAGTCGTCCGTTTTCTAAACTGAAAAGTCCCTGACTCTACAGTCTTTCCTCAGAGGGAAAGTGCTCCATCCCCCCTAAACCGGTTTCGGCCAGTTTCCAATTTGCCCTATTTGGGCAAATTGATTGAGAGAGCGGTGGCAATACAGTTTCAGGGCTTTATGGATGACACTTCCATGTTAGATCTCATCCAGTGCAGCTTTCGCCCGGGACATGGGACAGAGACAGCACTGGTCGCCCTCACAGATGACCTCTGGAGGCATCTGGATTGGAGCGGTTCGGCGGTGCTGTTGCTGTTGGACCTGCCGACTGCATTCAACATGGTCGACCATCAGTTACTGACCCACCGCCTCGCCGACATGGGAATTCAGGGGCTTGCCTTACAACGGCTTGCTTCCTTTCTCCAAGGTCAGGGACAAAGGGTGGCACTAGGGAAACAGCAGTCCAGGAGGCACCCACTGGAGTGTGGAGTGCCTCAAGGGGCAGTGCTTTCCCCGATGCTATTTAACATCTATATGTGCCCCCTTTCCCAGATTGCCTGGAGGCATGGGCTGGACTGTCACCAGTACGCTGATGACACCCAGCTCTAGCTGACGTTGGGCGGCCAGTCGGACTCCAGACTGGAAGATCTGGACCGAGCACCACAAGCCGTGGCTGGTCGGCTCAGACTGAGCCGGCTGAAGCTGAACCCGACAAAGATGGAGTTCCTGTGCTTGAGTCGGGGTGGCTCGGGGGTGGGGATCCCACTCCCAACCTTCGGTGGGGTACCATTGGTGCCAGCGCCGAAGGTTAGAAGTTTGGGAGTGCTCCTGGATCCCTCCTTAACAATGGAGGCCCAGGTAGCAGCCACTGCTAAGTCTGCCTTTTACCATCTTTGGCTGATCTTGCAGTTGGTTCCCTTCCTTGACCGCAACGACCTGGCAACAGTGATCCATGCGATGGTCACCTCGAGACTAGACTACTGTAACGCTCTCTACATGGGGCTGCCCTTGTCGCAAATTTGGAAGCTGCGGCTAGTGCAGAATGCCGCAGCCAGGCTCCTGATGGGCTTCCCCAGATGGGAGCACATCCGGCCTGTGCTGAAGACATTGCAATGGCTGCCAATAGCATACTGAATCCGCTTCAAGGTGCTGGTTTTTACCTTTAAAGCCGTACATGGCCAGGGTCTGACATACCTGAGGGATCGGCTTTCCCCATAGATACCCTAGAGAGCACTTCGGTCGGGGTCTCAAAATCGATTGACCCTCCCTGGACCCAAGGATGCCAGGCTCACTTATACTAGGGCCAGGGCCTTCTCAGTGGCAGCTCCACACTGGTGGAATGAGTTCCCGGAAGAGATCAGGGCCCTGTGGGATCTTTTACAGTGCCGCAGGGCCTGCAAGACGGAGCTTTTCCACCAGGCTTTCAATTAAGGAGCCACCCTCACTACTACCACCAACAACTGTGGTTATAGATCCTGGCCCTTAACTTTGACATCTGGCCTGTGCCGCTGCGTGACTTAGGAAGTCCATGGAGCTGAAAATCTGTTGTTAGTATGCACTCTTCAGTATGCCATCTCAAGTAATCAATTAATGAAATGCTGCCAGCACTTTATGATTTTATGATTGTTTGATCTTATTTGAAATGGAACTGTGTAATTGATTTTAGGGGACTGTCATGTTATTTATGTGCCAACCAATCAATGTAAGCCGCTCTGAGCCTGTTCACGGGGGAGGGCGGGGTCCAAATAGAATGAATGAATAAATAAATAAATATCTTGGTTGCCCTCCTCTGTACTTTTTCCAGCTCTGTGATGTCCTTGTATAATGCTTGTATAATGTTTTGTGGCATAACTCTGACTCGCAGGCCCTTCCCTTTTCTCCAGCTACACAAGAGCTGGCTAAGGTTCAACAGTATTGGGGAGAGATACCTCTACTGGCTCAGAGTTAATCTGGTAACTTGAAGGCTGTTGCAGGGCATACAGTAGTCATGTGGCAGTCTTGGTTGTTGGGAATTGCGAATCTCTCTCTCTGCAATCCACCAAGTGAGTCCCACTGGGTTAGATCGTCAGGCTAGGTTCTGGAAGACCCAGGTTCAAATCTACACTCTTGTCCATGGAAGCTTCCTGGGTGACCTAGGCCCAGTCACATATTCGCAGCCTCCTGTGTAAACTTATTCTAACATTGTTTTAATTGTAATATACTAGTTGATGTAAACCCCCTGAGCCCATTTATGGGGACGGCGGTATATAAATAAAATCAGGGGGTTTTTTGTAGACAAAGCCCAGCAGGAACTTATTAGCATATTAGGCCACACCCCTGACAGCACAGCTCATTAGCATATTAAGCCACACACCTCATGCGTTCCCTTGGTTTGCCTGGGCACCCTGCGACTGCAGGGAACCCGGGCAAGCCGGCCCTTGGGCAGGCTGGGGAAGGCACGGGGAGGCATTTAAATGCCTCAGAGTAGCCGGGGAGGGGGATTGCTCTCTAGGCCTTCCCTCTGTAGCCACGCATGCGCAGAGGTTTTGGCTGTAGTGGGCGTCCCTCTGTAGCCACGCACACAGACGTTTTGGCTGCAGTGGGTGTGGTCAACTCTGAAGCCAGCTGGAACTCCGTTCCTGTGTGTTCCTGCCCAAAAATAGCCATGAATCAAATAAATAAATAGCCTACCTCATGGGTTGTTGTGAGAATAAAATGGAGAAGGGGAGAGCATTGTAAGCAGCTTTGGGTCCCCAGTGGGGAGAACAGCATAGTATAAATGAAGGAAATAAATTGTTCTGCTGCTCTGAGATGAACTATCTTCTCTACTTACAACAAATGACTGCAGGCCATAAGGGAGGACCACGTGGGTGTGTTAGTCCTGGTGAAAGGGAGCATCCAGACTCTCTTATGTTCTCTGCCAGTTACTAAGTACAAGAATATTCGCAAGGTTTCCTCAAGGCAAGGATTTTTCAAAAATTACTTTGTTTTACACAACGAGGGACTTCTTCAAAAATGTGCCAATGAGGCAACACTGGGCTGGTTCCAGGAAAGGAAACACCCAGTCACCGTTTGAAATTTGAAGTGAAACCACGGCTGTTAATACACTTCAGGGAGCATTAGCCATGGCAGCCAGGGGTCTCGTCACGGAGTTCCGCGCTCAAGCCAAGTGCCCCATCTGCCTCCAGTACTTCGAAAATCCAGTCACTATCGACTGTGGGCACAATTTCTGCCAAGCCTGCATCGCCCAGTGCTGGGGGGAATCTAACAGCACTGCTTCCTGCCCTCAGTGCGGCGAAACGGTTCAGAAGAGGAACTTCAAGCCAAACCAGCCCCTGGCAAACATTACAGAAATAATCAAGAAATACCAGGAGGGAGAAAGAGCAGAAGGAGACAAGCAAATATGTGAGAGGCACCGGGAACCCCTGAAACTCTTCTGCAAGGACGATGAAGCCCCCATCTGCGTGGTGTGTGACAGGTCAAAGAGGCACCAAAATCACAGCGTGCTTCCTGTGGAGGAGGCTTCCCAAGAGTTCAAGGTAGGAAAGCACTGCCCTGGATGGGAATCCCGTTCTACAAAGGCCATTCCCCCCCCCCCATCATCCCAAAATTGCATCATATTTTAGAGTGACCAAGAAACGAAGCTCAGAATGGGGCTATGCAGATAGGCTCAGGTGTCTCTCTTCATTTAATTATTTATTTGATTCCTTTGTCCCCCCAGTGGGGACCCCAAGTGACTTACATCATTCTCCTCTCCTCCATTTTATCCTCACAACAACCTTGCAAGGTAGGTTAGACTGAGAGGGTGAGTGGCCCAAGGGCATCTGACAAGCTTCCATGGCAGGAATGGGAATTCAAACTTGAGCCTCCCAGATACTAGTCTGACACACTGGGTGATTCTGGATCTAGCATTCGCTCCACATTTTCTCAACTGGGAGGGGAAAGTGCAGCTCAAAACCACACTCAGATACTTCAGGGCAATGCTGTTCTGACTGCAAAGTCACCTCTGAAGGGCCATAAAACGGCCATAAATCTATGCAGAAGCTACCATAAAACCCAATGATCAAAGAAAGCAAAAGTGGCATGCCAAAAAGTCCATGGATCAAGGGCAGTGACAGCAGCATGCAATGCAGAGGGGAATTTCAGTTCCAACGTGGGTTTCCTAAAACAACGGAGGGAAAAGCCAATGCAGAATCAGCCACTGTAATCAGTGCAACCACACTGGCTCTTAATGGAGAAGACACGGGCGGTGATATCACTTGACACACTCCTCTAGAGCCAGTTTAGTGTAGTGTGGTTAAGTGTGCGGACTCTAATCTGGGAGAACCGGGTTTGATTCCCCACTCCTCCACTCGCACCTGGCTGGATGACCTTGGGCAAGCCATAGTTCTGAGAAGAGCTGTCCTTGAAAAAGAGCAGTTTCTGTCAGAGCTCTCTCAGCCCCACCTACCGCACAGGGTGCCTGTTGTGGGGAGGGGAAGGGAAAGGAGTTTGTAAGCCGCTCTGAGACACCTTTGGGTAGTGAAGGGCGGGGTATAAATCCAATCTCTCTCTTCTCTTCTTCTCTACCTTGTGCAGCACTTGTTTTTTAGTGTGCCTTTCTCACAGAGATTTAAAGAATTACTACAGACTGGGAGAGGCCACAGAATATCTCACATGGGTGGTAGTTTCTATGGATACACCATCAGAAATAGGGGGAAGGGAGACTGGATCACGGGCATGAATCCAAACTATTGCATAGCTGGGGCCCTCCTTCTCTTTCTAGTGGTTCGGTAACAGCAGGCTGGCAATCATCTCAGAGGAGCAGCATTGTTAGTCTATCGTGGCAAAACGACACAGGAATCAGGTAGCTGCTGAAAGGCTACATTTATTTCAGCATGAGCTATGATGAGTCAGAGCCGACTTCCTCAGGCGCACGGAAATGTGGGCTGGCAGGCTAGCCCAGCCGAGAAAAACTACCAACTGCCGCCAGGAATCGGCTGAGCATGCAATGCCCAAGCTAACCATACCAATATCGGCACTCAGCAGGCAATACCCAAGTATCCCTTGGAGGGGTGGTCAGTTTTTCTCCTCTTTAGCAGCCCGAATAGCCCAGACTAGCCTGAGCATCTAAAAGTTTGGAAGCTTAAGCCGGGTTGGCCATGGTCAGTACTTGGACAGGAGACCACCATGAAAGACCAGGGTTGAAGAAGAGATTGGATTTATACCCTGCCCTTCACTGGAGCTGCGGTGGCTCAAGTGGTTAAGACGCTGAACTGCAGACTGTGGAAAGTCAGTAGTTCAGCAGTTCGAGACCTGGGTGCCGCATGATGGAGTGAGCTCCCATCTCTAGTTCCAGCTCCTGCCAACCTAGCAGTTCGAAAGCAAGAAATTGCAAGTAGATAAATACGTACCACTTCAGTGGGAAAGTAACAGCGTTCCGTGTGCCTTGGTGTTTAGTCATGCCGGCCACATGACCACGGAAACATCTTCGGACAGCGCTGGCTCTTCGGCTTTGAAACGGAGATGACCACCGCAGCCCTAGAGTCAGATTCGACTGGCTTTTGAGCAAGGGAACCTTTACCTTTACCTTCACTACCTGAAGGAGTCTCAGAGCGGCTTGCAATCCCTTTCCCTTCTCCCCACAACAGACAGCCTGCCAGGTAGGTGGGCCTGAGAGAGCTCTTGAGAGAACAGCTCTGAAAGAAGAAGAGGAGGAGGAGGAGATTGGATTTATACCCCACCCTTCACTACCCAAGGGAGTCTCAGAGCAGCTTACAAATTCCTTTCCCTTCCCCTCCCCATAACAGACACCTATGAGGTAGGTGGGGCTGAGAGAGCTCTGACAGAAACTGCTCTTTTTCAAGAACAGCTGTGGCAGAACTTATGACTGACCCAAGGTCACGTCAGCACCTGCATTTGAAGGTGTGGGGAATCAAACCTGATTCTCCCAAATTAGAGTCCATGCTTCTAACCACTACACCAAACTATACAGAGGCAGGCGGCCTGCTCATCTCTCACCCTGAACCCTCCCCCCCCCACAGGGGTTGGCCATTGCCATATGTTAGTTGCGCCCTGTCATTTAGTTTCTTCACTTGGTCATTTACATGTAGACAGTAAGCTTAAGAACAGGTTGTGGATGATAATCTTCCAGAGTTTGTCACCGGTGTTGCCTGTAGTTGAGCATGCACAATAACAAAGATTTGGCTATCTGTTGAAGTCCTTAATAACATTCCCCAATGTCTCTCAAAAAGCAGGGAAGGGAAGAAAAGGTTAACTCATGGAGAAGACCCCAGGGTTTCTCAGCCAATCGCAGGAAACCCTGAAATGCATTTATTGTTTATTTACATCATTTTTACTCTGCATTTCTCCCCAAAGCAGCTTACATTATTCTCCATTCCTTCGTTGTAATCCTCACAACATCCCTGTGAGGCAGGTCAAGCTGGGAATGTGTGACTGGCCCAAGGTCACCCAGTGAGTTTCCATGGCACGAGCGAGGATTCAAACCATGGGCTCCCAGATCCTAGTCTGACACTCTTAGCCACTGCACCACACAGGAAATTGTTTTCGTCCATTACCAAACTGGGTGTGATTTTCTAAGAAAAATCCCTGAATGGGTGGGCTCTTTTTGTAGCAGGTACTCGAAATCATTTTCGTCCATTACCAAACTGAATGGGTATCAGATGTCAGGACCCGGAGGCAGGCAATGGCAAGCCATCTCTTGCCTTGAAAGCGCTGTGGCAGGGGTGGGCCAAACTTGCTTCACGTAAGAGCCACACTTGAAAGCTCTGTGGCAGGGGTGGGCCAAACTCGCTTCACGTAAGAGCCACACGGAATAAACGTCGGAGGTTTGAGAGCCGCAGGACATGAACAAATAGTACACACATGGTTTTATGGGAAAATATGGATATTTGGTTTTTGTTAACATTAAATTAGACTGTATAAGAGCCGCATGCAGCCCCCGGGTTGCAGTTTGGCCACCCCTGCTCTACGGGGGGTTGCCATAAGTCAGTTGTGATTTGACGGCACTTTCCTGCACCACCATCAGATGGATCGAAGGGCTGACCTCTCCCAGGGCAATTCTGCACCTGGCATCGGAGGAAAAGGTGCAGCTCAAAGCCATATCCAAATACCCTGGGGCAATGCCGTACTGACTGTGAAGTCACCCCTGAACGGCCATAAGGTACCATAAAACCCGATGATCAAAGAACGCAAAAGTGGCATGCAGTGCAGAGGGCGCCATAAAATCCAATGATCAAAGAAAGTGAAAGCAGCGTGCAATGCAGAGGGGGATTTCTGTTCCAGCGTGGGTTTGGTAAAACGACGGAAAGAAAAGCCAATGCAGAATCGCCCCCAGAATAACAACGTTTTCTGTTTCCTTAGGAGAAGATCCAGGACCAGCTGCTATCTCTGGAGAAAGAGAGAGAGAGGCTCAAGGAACAGAAAATTACAGAAGAGCAGGGAAGCCAGAAGTGCCTGGTAGGCTTTTTCTGTTACTGCAAGAACAGTTTGATGCTCAGTGTTGAATTGTAGATTCCAGGGGAGTCTTATTCCCTCAGACAATGAAGAGTTAGGTGGTTAAAGAACAGGCATCTCGGTGTTTGGCATAAATGTAGGTAGTATGGTATCTGTAAAAAGGTAAAGGTTTCCCTTGCTCAAAAGCCAGTTAAATCCGACTCTAGGGGGCACTGCTCATCTCCGTTTCCAAGCTAAAGAGCCTGCGCTGTCCGAAGACTTTTCCATGGTCATGTGGCCAGCATGGCTAATATGCCAAGCCGCACAGCTCGCTGTTACCTTCCCGCCGAAGCGATACCTATTTATCTACTTGCAATTTCTTGCTTTCGAACTGCTAGGTTGGCAGGAGCTGGGGCCAGTGATGGGAGCTCACTCCGTCACGCGGCACTAGCTACCGAAACCCTGTCTGGTCTGCAGTTCAGCATCTTAACCTCTGAGCCACTGCGGCCCCTGTGGGATCTGTAGGACACTTCGCTTTTGCAGTCAAGTCACAGCTGGCTCATGGCGACCTCAGAAGCTTTTAAAGGCAAGAGTCGTTCAGAGGTGGTTTGCCATTGCCTGCCTCTGTGTAGCAACCCTGGACTTCCTTGGTGGACTCTCTCCCATCCAGGTGCTAACCATGGCCGATGTTGCTTATCTTTCAAGATCTGACTACCGTGGGCTATCTAGGTCAGGTCTTTAGGACACTTTACCCATATCAAATGGAGATTGGAATATAAAATGAATTTCATTAAGCCAGAAGGCGGGAACAATCACTTAAAAGAGAGAGAGAGAGAGAGAGAGAGAGAGAGAGAGAGAGAAAACACCATACATTATATAGCAGCAGATATGAGCCAGAAACATGCAGATGGCCAAGATGACTTCTGCCTGGAAATGGAAACAGTAATAACATAACAGCATTTGATTTAATGATAGCCACTCTGATTATCAGTTGTTGTTGTTGTTCAGTCGCACAGTCGAGTCGGACTCTTCGCGCCCCCATGGACCAGCTCCCGCCAGGCCTTCCGGTCTTCCGCCGTCCTCTGAAGTTTGCTCAACTTCATGTTCGTTGCATCGATGACACTGTCTAACCATCTCATCCTTTGCTGTCCCCGTCTTCTTTGACCTTCTATCTTTCCCAGCATCAGGGTCTTCTCCAGTGAGTGCTCCCTTCTCATTTGGTGGCAGAAGTATTTGAGCTTCAGCTTCAGTATCTGGCCTTCCTGGGAACAGTCGGGGTTGATCTCTTTTAGGATTGACTGATTTGATCTTCTTGCAGTACAGCTCCTCTAGACATTATACACTTGAATTTGTTCTTTACAAGAAATATAATTGTCTGATTATCAGAAACATCGAAAACCTTATTCAGCAAAGGATCAAGAAGATTATGGGTTGGATCCCAAGGGAAATTTCCATGAATGAGAGCAGGGCAATTTACGCCAATTCCTTTCCCTTCTGCAGACCTCCACCCACAGCCCCCGTCCCGTATTTATTTATTGACTGAAATATTTCTCCCCCGCCTTTCCTCTTGACTATAGGCCACTTACAGACAATAACTGAAACACGTAAGTGGAAAACAAATAAGATAAAAACCTTAAATACCTCCCTTTCCCCAAAAAAGTCTGTTTTTTATTTATTAAAATCGGGGGGGGGAGCATTTGCGGCTGTAACAGGAGGGAGGAAGTGAGTAAGTCCCACTGCGTTGATGGAAATCCTTTCCCTCAGAGGAGATTTACTGCAGGATCGGAGCCATACCCTGAAAATTGCATCGAAGATACAGAATACTGAACTGTTAGAAACATCCTCCAAATGAATTGCCCTTTCTTACTGCATTGAAAAGATGCAGCTGCCTTACATTGGATCATACCATTGGTCCATTAAGGTCTGTATTGTCTACTCAGACTGGCAGTTCCTCCCCAGGGTCTCAGGCAGAGGTCTTTCACACCACCTACTATCTTTTAACTAGAGATGCTGGGCACTGAACCTGAGACCTCCTGCTTGCCAGGCAGATGCTCTACCACTGAGCCATGGCCCCTCCCCTAAATAATGATCAAATTAGACACCATGTAGTCCCTGGTTCACATCTCAAGTTCTGCCACAGTCACTTCACCTTCCCATACACACCCTTTGCAACATGTACCATATAGGATTGTTAGAAGGGTAACCACAGTAAGGTACTGCAGTGCTTTGAACTGCCATTATTATTATTTATGGGAGGACCTAGTGAATATAGTCCTCCTGCTGCTCAACTGAATGTAACATGTGGTTATCGGCTCTTACCTCATCCCATTAATTACACAAACGCCTCAGACAGTGGTAGTAGTAATAACTCATTGCATGTTTCCTCTTTGGTTGCTGCCAGCCCAGAGCTGTTGGCAGAGTCTGAGGTTAATTGCACAACTTCTCACCAGCTTACAAATTACTTAAATGCTGATCTCTAGTTTGATTGCATCCAGTTCTGGATTATTACCAAGGCTCTAAGTAAAAGTACAATAGCTCAGGGCTACACAGGTCAATCCATGATGCCGTTCCCACTTCTCAAAACCAAACGGAACAAATTCCACATTTCCCTTTGATTGCAGCAGGGCACCAACCATGGCTTCTATGCCAGCTGCACAGTTCCCCCCCCCCCCCCGACAACTGGCATTTCGGGTTAGAGAAGAGGGAGCAGCAATTTCTGCCTTCCCACTTTCAATCCTTCACTTGGCTCCCTATGCCGTTGGGTTTTTTTTTGGGGGGGGGGGTTGTCTCCCTGACCTCCAAGACCAAAATTTCAAAGTGTTGAACAGGCTCAGAAGGAGGGGGAAGTGGAAAAGTCCTGCTCCACATAGGGCGATTCTGCGTCCCGCACTCCACAGTTTCTCAACACCGAGGGAAAGGTGCAGCTCAAAACCACATCCAAATACCTCCGGGCAAAGCCGTACTGCAAAGTCACCCCTGAAAGTGGAGCAACATCAGATAAGGCGGGAGTCTCTTTTATTTATTTTTGTAATGTAGCTAGTTCTGAATAGTCAGACCGACCCTAGACTTGCATTCCATACCGAAATAACAGAAGGCATGATCTCGGTTCTCTTCAGAACAAAGTCTGAGTCCAGTGGCACCTTGAAGACCAACAAAATTTTATTCATGGTATAAGCTTTCATGTGCAAGTGGTATCTGAAGAAAGCTCACACCTTGAATAAACCTTTGTTGGTCTTAAAGGTGCCCCTGGACTCAGACTTTGTTCTGCTGCTTCAGACCAACACGGCTAACCTGGATCTCTCCTCCTCAGTTTCTGATGTGAGCCCACTCTTGGAGTGCATTCTCAAGGCCGCTGGAATGCAGACATGGTTATGGTACAACATTAACCTCTGGCACGGGAAGCCACCCTCAGACAAACAAAACAGATGTGAGAGGCCAAGGGGAGGTGGAGAATAAGACCAGGGACTATGCCAGATTTTGCAATGCCATCATTTTGACTCCAATATCCTTGCAGCAACTTTGCTTCTCCTTTGCCATGAGTCTCTACTTTTGCCCCATTTTCTCTTTCCTTGTAGCCATTTCCCCCCCTTTATAATTACAGGTGAATGTATATTTACATTTGTGCCAGTTGCATACCAATGCCCCGGAATTTAAGATGGGATGGCAAAGGATGAGATGGTTAGACAATGTCATAGATGCAACGAACATGAAATTGAGCAAACTTCCGAGGACGGTGGAAACCCCCCCCCTTTATAATTATACATGTCAGTGTATATTTACATTTGTGCCAGTTGCGTACCAATGCCGCAGAATTTATTGGTGGTGTAAAATGGAGTAAGAAGGGCATAAAAGAAGTGAACAAATCAGGACACAAGCACGGATGGCCACAAGCACAGGTGGCTTTAAAAGGGGGTTAGATAAATTCCTGGAGGATACTCACTGGGCGACTCTGAATCTAGTATTCGCTCCACATTTTCTCAACTGGGAGGGGAAAGTGTAGCTCAAAACCACATCCAAATACCTCCAGGCAACACCGTACTGACTGCAAAGTCACCCCTGAATGGCAATAAAGTGGTCATAAATCTATGCAGAAGGTTCACTAAGATCCAACAGCTCAAAGAGCTCGAAAGTGGCATACAGTCTGGAGGGTACCATGAAATCTGATGATCAAAGGAAGTTAAAGCAGCATGCAGTGCAGAGGGGAATTCCTGTTTCAGCGTGGGTTTTTAAAACAACAGAGGGAAAAGCCAATGCAGAATCAGCCACTGCCACTTGGAAACCGAAAGAGCTGGAGATGCTGTGGTTCCCGTGGTCTCTGCTTTTGGAATCCCATCCATCCATGACTCTGCATCTGTTTGATACATGGGCCAATGAGACACATGCCTATTAGCCACTGTAAACTTGTCTGCCTCGCACCTCCCCCTACTTTAGCTAGATTGCACCTCTTTTATTTAAAAACAATCCTTCACATTCATATTTGGTGTAGTGGTCAAGAGCCAGTTTGGTGTAGTGGTTAAGAGCGCAGACTCTAATCTGGGAGAACCGGGTTTGATTCCCCACTCCTCCACACGCAGTTGCTGGTGTGACCTTGGGTCAGTCATATGTTCTTTCAGAGCTGTTCTCTCAAGGGCAGTCCTCGAGAGAGCTCTCTCAGTCCCACCTACCTCACAGGGTGTCTGTTGTGGGGAGGGGAAGGGAAATGAGCTTGTAAGCTGCTCTGAGACTCCTTTGGGTAGTAAAGGGTGGGGTATAAATCCAGTCTCCTCTCCTGTTTAAAACTCACTCACTTAAAGGTTCATTTTAATTTTTTTTAACATAGAACAAAAAAAAACTGGTACAAGAAAGGGGAGGCATGGAGAAAGTGAAGTCATGATGTCACAAGCATGAGCTCTGTGCTCTGCAAAGTCTGTTTTCTTCTGCAGACAGGAAGGATGTGCTTCCCCCTGAGCTTCTGAGGGAAACCATCTGTGCTCTGCAAAGTCTGTTTCCTTCCGCAGACAGGAAGAATGTGCTTCCCCCTGAGC